GGTGGCCGTGGTGGTGGTGAGCAGCACCACGAGACGGCGGCTGCGGAGCAGGTTCCCATCACGCTGCCGGATGACGTGTTCTTTTTCCTGCGCATCGCCATGCACCGCGCGGTGAACACAAAGTCGACGCAAATCACCTCCGCCGTCTTTCTTGCGTGTGGCGAGCTTGTGCAGTCGCGCATGATCCCCGTGCTGCAGCAGCACGCCGCCCTACCGCCGCCGTCAGCGCTGCAGCAGCTACAGCAGCAGACCGGCTACACGGTGCCGCCGCGCGTGCTGCGTTGGGTGGCGGCGGCGCAGTGCACCGCCACGTACGCACGCAAACTCGGTGATGAGCTGCGGCAGCTGGCGCGAGCGAACTTCACCGGCAAGGACCAGCTGCGCTTCACGGAGCAGGCGGAGGACATGGACGCGCTCTCGCGCGAGCTCACAGCGATGACGGAGCGTTGGCTCGTCGGCATCGCGGAGGCGTGCTACCAGGCACACCTTGCGCCGCACCTGGAGCGCTTCTCCGCGCTGTCGTATGCGCTGACGGAGGAGACGTTCTACCACTACGAACTGAGCGACCCGTGGGTGCAAGCGTGCGTTGCCGCCACCGACGTTGCGCTGCGCCCCTTCGACGACCACCTTGACCCGCACGGTTTTGACGTGCTGTTGCTCTCGCTGGTGCGGCGCGTCGTGAAGACGGTGTGGCAGGTGCTCGTGCAGAAGTCCTTCACCGGCTACGGCGCGCTGCAGGTTGACCGCGACGTGCGCACACTGCGTGCCTTCTTTTTTGGCCGAGCGCACGAGCTGCAGTTGCGGGAGGCGTTCCTGCCGCTCACGAGCGCCACGTCGCTGCTGCTGCTTGACAGCCCCAAGGACGCGGAGCAGGACACGTACGAGGGGCTCACGGGGGACGAGAAGCGCCGCGTACTTGGCTGCCGCGCGGACTTCAGGCGCGCAGAGATTGCGAAGCTGCAGCTCTGAGGGCAAACAAGACGGGGGCCTGCGGTTCGTCTGGTTACCGCTGAGTTTGGCGGTGTGTGACTGCGAGCTGTGCGCCGGCTCACAATTTTGCATCACGTGTGGTGGGCTGAAGAACATACGCGTACACCAAAATGGAGTACGGACTGATGAATCCTCTCTGTATGTGGGTGTGTCACGTGCGTAAGTACGAGCGCATGTCTCTTATTCTGTTGCTGCCGCTGGGTATTCACACCTTGTATGCTCTTCTTCCTCGTTCTTCTTGTGGCCTCACACGCGTCCGCGTGAAGTGGAATACACATCGCACGTTCAACAACGTGTAGGTCATCTCGGACAAGCAAAGGGGGAGCTGCACCTGCGGCTAGTACCAAACTCTTCTACCTACCATGTCTTACAGAGGGAGCGGCGGCGGACAGCGGCGGCAACGCTCACCGAGCCCAGACAGCCACCATCACCACCACCACTCCCGCCCTTACCAGAGTGGTAATAACTATAATTACTACCGCGAGAAGCAGCAGCAGCGTCAAAACTCTCCACCGCGCCGCCCACCGTACCGCCGTCGCCGCGAGGACGTGCCGTACAACATCCCGAGCGCGGCACCACGGCTGCGCGTGCCGTGTGATCTGCCGGTGGACGTCACCGCATTTCTCGACCTTGTCGCGTTCTACGTAGTGCAAGGTGGACCGACAACAGAGGAGGAGATCATGAAGCGGGAGGAGAACAACACACACTTTGCCTTTCTCCACGCGCCGTGGCGGGACCCGATGCAGTTGTATTACCGTTGGCGCCTCTACTCCCTCCTGCAGGGTGACACGCTTCTTAAGTGGCGTACCGAGCCGTACCAAATTGAGCGCGGTAACGATGCGTACGTGTGGGTGCCGCCACCGGCGATTCACAGTGGGCCCGAGTGCCTCCTTGACGCCTTCAAGCCGAGCACTTCCAGCAGCGTCCGTGATGGGCTTTCACAGGGTACCGTGGGTGAGGATGCAGCTACAGCAGCAGCACAACAACCCGTGCCGTCGGCGTCGTGGCTGTCGCGGATGTCCGTCTCCGAAGGGTCCTTCTTTGTCACGCTTGAGAGGGCTGCGGTCGAGGAGTGGAAGCAGCTGCTGCAGATGGAGTCGCATCTTGCAGATGTGGTAGAAGGTTGTGGTGGTGGAGTGGAGCAGTCGCTGGAGAACCGCCTCAGCAAGTTGGGTACCTTACTGCTCGATAGGGAGCTGATTGCACGGCGCATGGTGTTCGCGGTTGAGCACCAGAAGGCTGCACTGCACGTGCTAAGCCTCGTGCTAGATGAAATCGTGCGACTCGCATATGAGGCGGCCACGCCTGTAGGTGGTGCAGGGAGCCAAAATAGCACGTGTAGGAGTAATAAAAATAACAGCAGTGGGACAAAAGGAAGCAGCGGTGAAGCAAGTGATAGCAACAACAAAAATTCCAGAAGCAATGACAACAGTGCCCTTCGTGCTGCGTCGCGCTGCTTCATGTGTCTCTCGCACCTCTTCACGCTGAACGATATTGGTAAGAACGGCGGTGCGCCCCCCCTGACGGAGGAGGAGGTTGCCAGTCTCGCGCCCTCGTGGGAGGAGCGGGGCGGCCCAAACAATAACAACAGCAGCAGCAGTGGCAGCCACCCCATAGCCCCTGCTGCTGCTTCTGTGAGCGGCCTAGAGGCGCCGCATGCTGTGATAAGTGGCTTGCTGCCGCTGCCGTCGCCGTCGCCGTCGAATCCTTACTCTTCGGCCGGCACCGGCGCTGCTCCTGCTGCTTCGGTGGTGCCGGTGCGAATGCTGAACCGCGCGCTGGAGAAGATCATGCCCACCCTCATTGAGGCCACGCTCGTCGTGGCGCTCTGCACGGTGCAGCAGTACGGCGCGCTGGAAGTCGACAACGCGCGCGAGACGGCGCGTAGTTCGGCAAAGCCGCCGGGTGCGGAGGAGTTCGAGGGGATTCTGCCGCTCGACATCGACCAGGCGGCGTACGTGCACGTGCAGGCGAAGCTGTCATCTCCGCAGGCGTCTGCACCGTCCACCGTAGCATCAGCAACTGCAGTAAAGAAGGAGGACCGCGATGCCGTGTGCATGATCGCGATGCTGCTCATCTCGTGGCTGAAGCAGCTCTGTGCGTCGTGGGCGGACGGTGATGTGATTGGCAGCCGCTGCTGGAGCACGCTGGTGACGAAGTACGTCTACCTTCTCTCACAGCCTGTCGAAACGACGTGAACGAATGCAGCACATACACATACGCGCTCAAATGGGCTAGACCTCTCTCTCCCTACTCCCGGGACTGTGTGTCATGAAGGAGTATATTACATGCGCACTTTCATTGCCGTGTTGCACTGAGGGATAGTGCGAGTCCAATCACACCACAGACGAACACCCAATGAGGACGAACATTTGAAGAAGAAGAAGTTAAACACGCGATGGTGTTCCCAGAATGTGCTGGAACCTTGATGTGGCATTGCTGCCTGGGCACATTACACTGCGAAGCAAAGAACAAACGTCTTCTCCGTCGTTATTTCCTGCTTGTGTTTGCACGCAATTCCTGTAGGAAGCCGAAGGGGCTGTCCGTAGTACACAGATAGGCGGCAGAAACCGTCTAATTGAAGCAGCTGCAGCAACAGCAAAGCATATATATACATACATACATACATACACACATATACAGCGAGAGAGGGATAGATAGATGGAAGCCTCGACCTCTGTTGCTAGTGATGCTGTTGACGACCACGCGCCGGCCGCCACGTTGCCGCGCGCTCATCGGCTGAGCGCGCGTGTCGCGAGTGTCTTGCGTGCGGGGCGGCCGCC